ATTGACTTCCATATCCATTGATTACAATTAACATCCTAAATGTTATTTCCAAATAGCAATCATTGGAGTACTATTGTCACCTAAACCTAATTGATCTAAAATTTTCATTAAAGCTGCTCTTCCTTTTTACATAGCTTAAAAATAAGGATTTGTGGAGTCCAATCCTACTTCTTATTTTGCAAAATCTAAGTCACATCTTCTAACCATCAAAGCATACATGTAAAGCATGTATTTCATATGAGGATGATTATTATAATAATATGTTGCAATTTTGTTGATCAATTCTTCTGGAACCCTATCCCAATAAGCTAATTCTGGATGAGTAAAGGAGCATCTATCACTATTACAATAGGCTTGAACAATAGCCCTCTGATTTTTAATGTTTTCAAAGGGTCTAGCAATCTCTCGACTTCCTGCAAAATTGAATGATTCCACCATAGTCCTGACAACTTAATTTTTCACATACAAGTCATTATATTCCTTAGCCTTTTACATGGCTCTTTATGGAACTCCAATTACATTATCTACATTTAACCATATTATTTACCTAATTCAAACAAAAAGTCCATATACTCATAAGTAGGTTCAAAATCATCACTATAATTAATGTTGGAAAGGCCATATAACAAAAAAGTAAAAGCAACATCTTCACTAGCAAATTCGGAAGTGAAATAGTGACCTTAGATAGTTCTAATATGTCTTTTGCGTTATGCTCTTGTTAAAGCTTAATATTTTGTATGAATCAATGTATATGGTCCACCTCCTCTTTCTGGAGTAATACCTTACCCCATATATATATACTTTTCAGGATTTCTTTTATATTCTCTCATATTTCTAAGTTCAGTCAAAATTAATCCATCTCTTTATCGTGTGTCACTACTTGCAATCATAGTTATTTTAGAATCAGTGTTATTAGTTGAAGAAAAGGTTTCCAACAAAGGTACAATTTCAACATTCTAAACTTTATATTAGTTGATTAGGTCATTCACTAAATCATACTATGATTAAGTTTGGAAATTAGCAATAATAACCATATCTGCTGCTTGTCCATTGGCATTTAAAAGGGAGATTTCTTTAAATATATTTTTAATCATGGGTTTTATTTTATTAATCTTATAAATAGATAAAATTATTACATCTGTCAGATCTTCACCAGCTAATCTAATTTGTCCTAATACTCCTGTTAATCTGAAAATAGAATAGAGTTTCTTCAGCTTTAATGCTATAAAATAGTCCTTAGAATCATCATTCTTTGTTAAGATTTGATCTAGAATCTAATTAATTTAATCCTCTATCTTTTTGATATTAATAATAGGCATTTATTAGTAAAATTCTTCAAGTGAAATCTCCTTCTAGACCCTAAATTTATCACTTAAATCTCTTAAGTTTTTACTATATTCTAAAGCTTATTAATATAATTCTAAAATTTATTTAAAATCTTCATTCTCATCTAATTTGGCCTCAGAAATGTACTCTTTATACTATTATAAGGTCAATTCAATAGTCAAACCATGAGTATAACTCATAATACCAATTTCCTAAAAAAATGAAATAAAATGCTTACCATTCCTGGATGATTATCGAAATCAAATGTCAACCAAGTACCTGGAGTCTCAATATATTCTTCTGGGTTATTCAAACCTAATTCATAGGCTTGAGCCACAGCCTTAATAAGATTGGGTAAATATTAGGTGTGATATATTAATGATTCTTCAATGTAAGATACTTTCTATAAAATAATAAGTTGAATAAATTACATTGAATACTCTTTATTTATTAGATTAAATAAATAACTTGGCAGCATATTTAAGATACTTGTAATCATTTTATTCTATCCCTTAAAGCATTCTACTTATAGCAATCAACTAGGTCAGAGAATTTGGTTAAGTTGGATGAGAAGTAAATACATACTTCACTCGATTGATTTTAGACTAAAAGTTAATATATAAAATTTATTGATACTTTATCTCGTTTATTAAAATATTCAATGACTCCGAATTAATCCAAATATTCATATCGTGCATAATTACTGCTCAATCTATCAAATATCATTAAGCTATAGATATGCCATAATAATGGTTCTGGAAAATCCTTTTCTTCACAACTTAAGGTTTCCATGTCCTTCCCTTAATAAGTATTATCAAAGTAGATTGATAGGGCATCTTAAAATAGTTTGTTTTCATCTTAAGTCAAATTATCAACATAGGCATCTAAGAGTTAAAGCATAGTCTTTTTTTTTCTGGGATTTATGTGTCGGAAATAATTATTTCCCAAATCAATGAGTCGAATTGGGGATTACTCAAGCATAGGCTCTTCTTATATGAATTTTTGAATCTCGATTATTGAACACCTTTTGTCACTAATGATTATTGAATATTTAGTACTCTGCATTTGCTGCAATCCAAAGCATGTCATTTTCTCTTAATTACTTTTC